GGATAACTGACAACAGTTAAGAAGATTTGTCTTGGGAAATAGGATGGATCACTATGAAGTACTAATTAGAAAACTGCTGTGATAATGTTGGTGGGAGAAGATAAAGGCACTGGAGGATAGAGAGAATGGATTGGAGTCATAGACTTGAAGATTGATTGGGTTCAGAGGACAAAGAATAATGAAATCTTGAGATGAATTAAAGATGGGATAGAAGATGTAGTTATAATCTAAAATGGGAGACACAGGAAGAAGAATAGACTTCCCCCACAGAGAAGTGGGGAAATCAAGTTAAGGGGAAAAGATAATGGGCTCAGTTTTAATATAAAAGGACATACAGTACAACAGTTGAAGTATGTGTTCTGGAGCCAGACATTGTTTATGTGTGTGTATGTGTGTGTGTGTGTGTGTGTGTCTTCTAAGAGACTTTTTGCTATAGGGCTCATGTACTCGCCAGAGTGACAGAGAGAAATCACTACTTGGGGGGGGGATGGTATCGCTGAAATCCCTTCTCCTCCATTCTCCTCTTGAGATTTTGGGCAGGCATACATACGCACTCGGTGTATTTAAGCCTCTGGGTCCAGGACTCAAACTATGGTTGACTATGTGGAAGTCCAGCAACATAACCATTATGCCATCTGCTGGTACCTGACTCCCTCGTTTTTAATATAGGCTTTGCCTCCAGGAAAGTCATTTAACCTCTATAAGCCTCAATTTGCTCATCTATAAAATGGGAATACTGCTACCATCTCTCTTTCATAGAACTGTTGTGAGGCTTAAAGGAGACAACATATAAGGGGCAGGGTCTTGAAAAAGTTCATGGAAAGTATGTGTTATAATAAAAATACACCTGGATTTCAATTGTTTTTCCTCCAAAATAAAGTCATACTTCAATTCCATTTTTCTATGAACTTACTGAAATTACCTCATATGTATTTAGAATATTGCCTGGAACAGGCCTTATAAATGCTATTTTAAATTTTTCATTTTTAAAATGATTATAAGTTATCTATTGATAGTTGAACATTTGAACAATTAGGTTTCAATAGAGAGAGATGTATGAGCCAGACTTACAAGTCTGGTGAATCACTAGAACATAATTGGATAATAAAGCTAGATAAGTAATTGTGAACATTCATGAAAAAAAATGTGTGTCTGTGAATATATATATATATGTGTGTGTGTGTGTGTGTGTGTGTGTGTGTGTCTGTGTGTGTGTGTGTGTGTGTGTGAATTTTCATCTATAAAATGATATTGGAAGAGGATCAAGGGAAAAAATAAGAGGAGAAACATACTAAAAAGACAATGAACAGTTAGAGGTAGTCAGAAACAATGAGAAAATGGTGCCTGAAAATCCAAGGGAAGTAAAACTTCTAAGGAGGGAAGCGATCAATAGAGCCAGGTGATTAGGATTGGAAAGAGGCCATTGAATTTTGAAATTAGAGGATCACTGTAGACCCTTTTGAGAGCTGTGAGAAAGCTGAGGTGTGAAAGGTAATTTAGAAAACAGAGGAAACAGTATAGATTATTCTCCTAGAGACATGGACCATAAAAAGAAAAAGGGAGGTAAGAGGCTAGTTAGAAGGTAAGTCCGATCAAAAGAAGGTGATGCAGTATGGGGGAAACTGGAAAATGATGCTAAGCTGAAGGGAAGTCAATGACAAGAGAGCATAAGAAGAAATATGATTTATTTTCTACCTGTTTCTTGAACTACTGAGGGTAATGGAAATCCTATCAGAGGTACAAAATTTCACTTTAAGGGTGAGCTAGGAAAAAATATGAGAGAAGTCAATAGTGTGTTTTCAAATTTAGAAATAAAAAAGAACAAAAGTATATAGTTGTTATTTAAAAATATAATTAGTCCTGTATTTTACCAAAATTACTTCCTGAGACTGTAATAACATTTTGAGAAGTCTCAGGATACTACAGAAATAGAAAAGTAATTTTGTTAAAATACAATACTAATTATATTTTTTAAACAACAGATTTAAACTTTTGTTTTTCTTTTATGTATTCTGAGTATACTTTGAACTTCTATAGGATATTTTTCATTCACATTAAACAGTCCAAATTAACCATCCAACTTACAATTCTTGTGTGAATACTAGGCTCTCTATATCAAAGATTATTAATTATTATAGTTCATTAAAATAGCGAATGTTTAGTTGTGGTTTGCATATGTTTGCATCTATAATCGGTATTCAACAAGTTCTTGAATATTGAGCAAGATGGCAATAATTCTTCCATATGTTACTTGTTAACAACCTGCCACTTAATCATTCTATTCCATTCGAGTTCCTGACAGCTAGCAATAATCAACTTTATCCCAGTGTTTGAGATGAACTACTCTTTGACAGAGGTCACTTTAAAGGACAGACAATGCAGTATTACAAATGTTGGCATCATGAAGATCTAAGTTCAAATCACAGCTATACTCCTTAGATGTTGATTTTGAGTGGGCTACTTAGCCTCCTAGCTACTAAGTTTCTTGTTCAGGAAACTGGACAGAATAATACATAACTCATAGAGCTGTGGTTACAAATTCATTTAAGGAAGATATTTTAAATATTTAAATGTTTTTGGTCCAAGTATAACAAACTGACTATGAAATATAATGAAAATTTGGGGACCCAGTAGCTTAAAACTCATGCCAGGTGCATGTATGTACATATCCAAAGTCCTGAGAGGAAAATGGAGGAGAAGAGACTGTAGCACGGCCATCCCACCTTGGGGGGTGATTTCTCACTTTCTGTCTCTCTGTGTCTCACCAGTGAGTACACTTACCCTATAGAAAAATCTCTCTTAAAACAAAAAGAAGAAAAAATTGTGAATATTTTGAATATAACTAAAATATTTAATTCTTCCTAAATAAACAATGCAAGAGAAGTAGAAACTTATATACATAAGGATACTTCAAGAGGTTTGTGTCAAAAAATAAATTTAGAGTTGGACCAGCAGTTGGTGTCCAATCCCCCCAGGGGAGTGATTTCTCACTTTCTGTCTCTCTTTCTCTCTCGTCTTTCTGGCAAGCGCACGTGCCCTATAGCAAAAATATCTCCAAAAAAATAATAAGAAAGAAAGAAAGAGTCTAATCTTTTAAAAACCATAAACCATTTCACATAAAAGGCACACCGTAGAAGTTTATCCAAAATTTTCATCACGGTTGAACAAGAGAGCTAATGATTTACAAAGATCCTTTAATATCTGGAGAAGTATCATAGTTTTGTAACATTAATTACTCTCTCTAAAGAAGTCACTTTGTTTATCTGATACATTTTCAAACTAGTATGAAATAAAATAACAATATTTCATAAAATAATAATAAAGGAGAAAAGCCAATTACAGGATATTTTAATATTTAAACATTAACTACAAAACGGCATACTAAAATTCAACAAAGAACATTCTTCTCTTTTTTGAACAATAAAAGAGTTCAAAAAATATTTCAGAGAGAGTTTTTCATGGTGTAGTAAACAGTATACACTGTCTAAAGGATCCTAAAAGTTTAACATTAGAGACAAAAAAAAGCTAGTATGAAATTCAGACTCTGCCACTTAGCAGTTGCATCACCTTAAATATGCAATTTATTTCATTCAGCCAATTTGTCTCACATGAAAGAAAGGTATTGTATGTCCCTACTTAATATATACTGGATGTCTGTACTCTGTAGCAGAAACTGAAAGACTGGAAGGCATAAAAGCATGGACAGCAATTGTAGATACCAGAGACAGTTTGAGAAAAGGGCAGAAAATGGGGGAAGGAGAAGAGGGTATCAAGAGATGGAAAAAAAAGAGAGAGAGAGAAACATTCAACAGACAAAAAAAAAGGGAAAATTATATGTTAGTGATAATGTGTATAGTAATATCTTTGACTAGACAAACAGGGTATTTCATACTGGGAAAATTCATTTTCAATGTTGTAAAGATATACAGTAATTGAATGTAAAAATTAGGAAGAAAATAAAATTGAAAAGTGAAAAAGTGAAATGAATATAATAACATTACTTTATAGCTGAGCTGTGAGAATTAAGCAAATAATATGTGCAAATTAAAAAATTTAGGTAGGTCTTCAAACCATAAATATGTCCAATAAAGATGAATTTCCATCTCTCAAGAATGAAGTCATCTATAAAATGAGTCTTTTTGGAAAACCATCTAAGAAAAAAAAATATATGTGTGTGTGTGTGTGTGTATGTGTGTGTACGTATGTATATACATAAATACATACATACATATATTTATATACATATATATTTGTGTATCTATAAATATATATATAATGTTAAAGATATATTCTGTTCCTTAAAATTTACCTTTAATCACCACACATCTTTACAGTGTAAAACACAGTTTTTTACAGCATGAATATAGTGCATATTAGTCAAGTCGAAGCCATTACCATAAACATTATCATTAGCAGGTAACTTCTCATTTTTATGTCTATTAAATGTGTTGTTGCTTTTGTCATTTTCTAAAGATGACATTTAAGCTAGGTCTATACAAGGCTAAACCATTTCACATAAAAGGTACACCATAAAAGTTCATCCTGCCCTAAGAGTTATAATTCAAGCCCCTCTGTTCTGGTGAGTCAGATCTTTGAATTTTATCTGGAATGGCACAAAGAAAGATGTGCTTAATGATCTTCAATTTTGACAAGACCACAGACTTCATTAATACTCGTTACAATGATGGCAATGGCTGAACAGCTAATTCATTTGCCCTGATAATTACTGAGGTTTCTAATTTTCCTGGTTTATTATATTAATTACTAAATTTCTACCCAGATATAAATGATAATCATAACTTCCAATTTTGTAATAATTTAGAAGTATTTTTCCTAATTTAAAACAAATTATTATTCTCACAAACACAACTTCAGGAAACAGGAAGAATTTTATTTTATCGTCCATGCTATTTAAATGTCAGCTAAAATAGAGTTGGTGTCACACAAAATGAATACTCTAAATATATCTCTAAAGGTAATTTAAGACAAAGCCAGCTCACCTGTAATTGCAAAGCTTCATGATTTTCTAATCCCTCCACGATTGGTGAAAATCGTTCCCTGTTATTTCTTTCTGCTGCTGTAGTGATAGCCCCTAAAAGTTTATCTAGACTGCAGGGGGGAAAAAAATGAAACAGAAATGAGAAATCACCCTTATACACACATTATGAACGTGGGCTATTCCTTTCGGTCGTCTCTGTTTTCTTTTTGATGATGGATATTTATGTAGCCTATTATAATTTTTAAGAATTAATTGTTTAGGGACCTGCAGTTGGCCTAATGGCTGTGTCGTTGGACTTCCATGAAGTGGACCACAGTTCGAGTCCCGGACCTGGTGGCTTAAACTCATGCCGGGCACATGTGCATGTCCAGGATCCCGAGAGGAGAAGGAAGGAGAAGGGATTGTAGTGTGGCCATCCCTCTTTGGGGGTGATTTCTCACTTTCTGTCTCTGTCTCTTTCTGGGGAGCACATGCTCCCTATAGCAAAAACCTCTTCAAAAAAAAAAAAAAAAAGAATTGTTTAATTGACAAATAAAACTGCACATATATTTATGGTATACAGCATAATGTTTTAAAATATGTATACATTGTGAAATGGTTAAATCAAGCTAACAAACATGCATTCCCTCACATACTTATCATTTTGGTTTTTTTCTGGCGAGAACACTTAAAATCTACTCCCTTAGCAATTTTCAAGTATAGAATATGTTGTTATTGCATTGTCAGAAAAGTCATGATGTATATTTTCTGTTTTTCTACACAGAACAGTGTCATGACTTTCCAAATAACCCAATATTAACTGAAGTCACCATGATGTACAATAGATCACTTGAACTTATTCTTCCTGTTTAATTGAAAGACCATTACCATTCAAATTAAGAACTGTGTTCCTGCCCACACATTTTGGCACATCAGATGTTGAGAGCTTTAAATAATTTTAGGACATCAAAAAGAAAATTTAATTTAAAAAATCTTGAGGAAAATTATTTTTCATGGGAACTGTTTTAAAAGAATAGTTAATTAATAAATACCAAATTTTAACTTTTCTGTTTTAGGTATTTAATGTGCTAACATATATATCAATGCCACTTAAACACAAAATGACATCTATAATTAACAACTTATTCAAATGTAAACAGACTGTAATTTTATAATAAACTGCTATAAAGTGAAAATATTTTTTAAATAATTTAAAAATCAACAGTCTTTGATAGTAGAACAAGAAAAAATAACCTAACAGAAGAAGTCCAGGTAGTAAAAGAAGCATCTGTAATTATCTAGCACAAGAACCTAATTTACCAGAACAAAAATATTGATAACTTTCTCCATATAATGTCTAAATCAAATTAACCACCATATATAGTAGACTATTCTTATCAAATGATATATAAAATTATAATTTAATTATAATAATTATAACAAGCTAGGTTGTATTTCATGAACTAAGTATGAAAAACTAATTGACTAAAAATATTTACTTATGTATAAAATTATTTTTCTATACAACCTAAGTTAAACTTATTTTTGAAATAAGACAATGTTATATGATAATATTTTTATTTATTATTTGTTGGTTTCCAAGGATAGTAGCAAACACTAAACAACAATGCATGTTATTCTAGGTTATGAGAAAAGTCAACACAAATGCATCCTTAAATCTCTGCATGGCCCTGTTCTGATTCAAATGGAAAGTATTACTGTCACACAACGTGTTAAGAACAAAGATTTGAGTTTTTTTCCTTAGCCGATATTTCATTTTTTATCACAATGGTTTCTTATAAACTGGACTTAGTAATAACATCAAATCTGAAATTTTCCTTCAGAATTAGTATTAGTTATTTTAAAATATATTATTTAATCAATGTTCAGCAGCAACTTACTTAATTTGGCACATACATGTGTACACTCTGAATCATTATCAACAATATTTTTTCTTTCTTATTAACATGTATGTTTATGTCACTTTATCAATAATTATTTCATCTTTTCATTTTCTATAGGTAGAGTAAAACACTATTATAAAATAATAATATACAATAAAGATGTCTAGTCAATTCATTTAAAGTCAAAATGTGTGATATGCAGCATGGTGTACGGGTGTGTATGTATGTGTGTGTTTATCTGCTAAAAAAAAGAAACTCACTGAGTTTTGCCCACTTTTCTAGTGATCACCTTACCTGCACCAAGACAAAATTCTGTTCCTGCACTTTAGTTCCAGCTTTGAACAATTTGCTATTAGGATTCTGTCTGTTTAAATCTAGTTTCATAATTTCAACAAAAATGTCAAAATATAAATAGAAAAGAGAAATATGTCAATCAAAATTTTTCTGACTCTAATGCTGTCTTTATGCAAGTTTTCTAAAGAAACAGCAAAAAAGTAGGGCTTATAATTTCTCAAGTGTCATTTTCCATGCAGTAAATATAGCAATTGTATAAGGCAATACTTACATGTTCTCTTCTCCAACAATGCAAATAGCAGAAAGTATTTTCACTATTTCAGTCATCATGTTGGGTTGTTTGGGGTCAATTGCTCTTGCCAATAGTAAAAGACTTCTTTCATCTTCTAGAATCCTTTGCAATCCAAACTAATGAAAAAAAAAAACTTCATTCAGAACATGTGTGAAGCACATCCTTAATTTAAAAAGCTACCTGCAATGATTTTTCAAAAACCCCGTACCTCCGCAGTGCATTCCTACCTAAAAATATTAATGTTTTTCAAATGTAGTTGTCTTTTTTATTTGAAATGACTGCATCTTGAAGTTTTTGCTCCTCATTCAGATATAACCTAAATTACCCTGCCCTAAAAATTCCATTGTTTTGAGAGAAACATGGGAACAATCAATATTTCTTTAAGAACATGTAAAGCACATACTGATATGATTTTCTAGTCATTTTACTTAAGCTGTTGAGTCTCAATGGATATATCTATAATTCATGGCTAAATTGTCCAATATGTTTGCATTGAAAATTAAGTTTCTAAAAAGGAAAAAATATTAAAAGGCTCTCTCCTTTACTATATTCCAGTTAAAGAAGCAATAGAACTCGGTATGAATTTTCCCATACCTTTTCTCTCTTATCTTCCCCCTTCAGGCAGCTATGATACACTATAAATGCTATGAACCCAAAGAAATGGCACCTGGTTTTTTTGAAATGTCAGTCAACTAGGCAGAGAAGACACAGTATTCATTTATATTCCAGGCATGAGTGCGTGTGTGTGTGTGTGTGAGAGAGAGAGAGAGAGAGAGAAAGAGAGAGGAAAAAAATGCATAAGCAAATTCTAATGAATAAGTAAAGAATTGATAAAGAAAGCCTAAAATGGGCCAGCAGGTGGCATGGCTGACTCCCAGATGGGTGACTATGTAGTTAAAGATCCACACCTGGCAGCTTAAAAAACACACTAGGTGTGTGTGCATATGTGTCCAAAATCCCAAAAATGAAATGGAGGTCAAGAGAAAAGAAGATGGTGTCTCCATCCCCCAAGGAGGTGCTTTCTCACTTTCTTGCTCGCTTGCGCTCGCTCACTCTCGCTCTCTCTCTCTCTCTCTGGAGCACACATGCCCTAAAACATAGATAGAGACACAGAGAGAGAGAGACAGAGAAAGGATAGGAGGTGGGAGAGAAAGACAGACAAATCTAAAACTTGGGTTTCCATTATATTAAAAAGATAGTATTTTATTTGATTTTTGTCCCACAAAATATTTCTTAGATTTTTTTTATAAAAAATATCAGCTTAGTTATACAGTGTAATAGTGAAATCTAACATTTCATCAATGCAAAACTGCCAATTCAAGCTAACCTTTAGTTAGGTTCCAAATATATGAAAAATTCCATGGTTCCCAAGTTACCTTGGAAAAGAACTTTGGGAGATGGGGAAGCATAGCTAAAACTCTAAAATGTGACTTTACCACAGGTCATAATCATTAATAAATATCAGGAGATAAGAGGGAAAAAA